CTATGGTAAGATTTTTTGTTCTGATGATGCCTTACACCTGATCCCTTCGACACCTCGTGGTTGCATAGGCTGGTGTGCTTCTTCCATGTGGACACACACAGTTTTTTAAATTGCCTCTCCCGCCACCCCCACCCCACTATTATGTTTCAATCATTCACTTCTCAGTAATTCCTCTTAGATACAACTCGATTGATCAAACACAACCAGAAAACTACCCTCCTCGCTATCAATTTGAGAACATATATTGCTTCCCTGTACTGTCATTGTTGGCTCCCAATTCATCTCCCTTCCATCTCCCCTTCCATGTACCCTAGGGACCTTTGGTCCAGTAGCTGTCTCCATCAGTTTGCCTATCCTGCCTATCTTGTATAGGTAAGCACCCAAATCAAAACAAAACTGATAGTCACAAGTCTACCCGGGATCCTGACAAAGAGCAGATGAACATCTTTCTGTTAAATAGAGAGCAGGACGTGTTATAAACCATCGGTCCAGTCCCCATTTCTTTCAGGGTTACATATCCCAGGTCCCGCTTCCCTAACAACTCCTACATCCTTCTAGTCCACAGCTGAAAGGCAAGCATAGTAAAAGTCTTCATTGCTTTTCCTGCATTCAGGGGTAGAGCAGTCTAGTGCCCCCCACACCTCCCAGTTACACTCTTAGACTTTCAATGTGGCCCCCTTGTGAGTAATCCCCAACCAGTTCAGATGGCCCTGAGTCAGAAGTCTACAATGATGATTTTTCAGGGACTTCATGGATTCGCTCCCATGACTGGTCTGTTGCACTCCCTTCCTGATTTGCTCCATGTGTGCGTGTCAGACCAGCCTCTCTCCCCAAGGTGTATCTTCAGGGCTGTTCTCTGCAGCACTGTCATCTAGGGACAGGAGATCATGTCTCAGGCTGAGGCCGCTCCTGCAGTCACTTCTGGGAATGAGCTGCTCCAAGCAGGAACATCACCCTCAAGGATTGGCACACTAGAATGAGGTCTATTCTTGCTCTCCCTTTCCTGTAGAGAGATAAACAATACCTGCCATTCGATTGGTTAGTGCCCTGACACCACCTCCCCCTACCCCATTGCCAATTGTTTAAATGAGATCAGCCTTACAGATACCTGGAGTTAGGATTTCAGCATACTTTTTTTAGGAGCTTGGGGGACACAATTCAATCCATAACCTCCTTTCTCAGGTAGCTTTATCACATGCATATACTTATCAGTACTCAGTTGAATATTTCAAGAGACTGTCTTCTGATCTCTAGGTTTCTTTCTCTTCAGGATTCTTTGCTTTTTAGTAGTCTGAATTAATAATTCTAGCTGCCCTGATACTCAGCTTTGATGCTCTGTTCGAGATTCTGCCTGTGCCTGCAAGCTCTCAGAGCAGTAATCTGAGGCAGTCACCCTATTGATTTCACAGTCTATAGCATGACCACAATGGTGATTTTGAAAAGTGGAAATTAATCCTTCTATCCTTATCCATCTGAATGACTGCAGTGGCTGTCTACTTTATTAGTCCTAAGAAGTGAATCAAAGGTCAGATGTCACATGAGAGTCTCCAAATAGGAAGAAAAAAGAAAAAAAAAATTTGTACACATTTACTTGACCACATCCTGCCATGGACTTTCATGAAGATTCTCAACTTCGTAAAGTTGAGCTAAATAAGAAGTGGGTGATTTAATTTTTCTGTTGATACAGATATAAATTCTGGAAGGAAAGAGTCTATTTAAGAGTACTAAAAAAAGGAGCACAAAAACTGTAACAAAATAGCACTGATAGGCTTAAAAGAAAAGGATTTGATTGACTGAGAATATCTTATGTTTTGTAATGGACAACAAATTATGCTGATGTCTTTAAAGACATGTCTTTAAATTATATTGATGTCTTTAAAGAAGATGGATTTCCTTGCATATATTTTTAATTTGGGCTAGCATAACCCTAACTTTATCTGCTCCCTCTAGAGCAGGCACTGGGGACTAATTTCCAGAAGTGAAATATGCCCTGTGTACCAAAGTTCAGAAGGTGATAATGAGCCTCAAGTGTGGGCAGCTTTGCAAACCACTAGTGGATGTCTGTCTGAGGCAAGTAGTTCCAGAGGGACCAAGTGGAAGGTGCAATGGGATAATCATCACAATCTGAGAGTCAGAAGAGAGTGGAGTGCAATGGTGTGAGGGCTTTGATGATAATTTGACGCAATTTGAGACTCATTCACAAGTATCGCATCTTGAAAATATTTCTTAAATGGTTTTTCAAATATCAACACCAATAGAAGTTTTTTATTTGTAAGAAGATTGGTGGCCAGAGACATTACTTGTAATTTATCTGATGTCAAGCCACTTCTCAAACTATTCATGTACCACCCACCTCAACAGACAAACAAATATGGCTTAATTAACTATTATTTTCTGTCCACTCCTTTCTTCTTGTTCATCACACAGCATTACAAAAATAAAAGATCATTCTCCAAGAAGTAGAAAACATATGTACTGATAACATATTAAGTGATTTTTGCTTATTTTTAAACCATGACTGAGTCTGTTACAGACATTACCTTATTTAATCATCCCAACAATCTTTTGAGCTTGGTTTTATTTTTATTTCCATTTACACATTAAACTATTTCAATAAATTCAATTACTTATATGTTTGCACTTAGGTATGGATCCTTACATAATGAAGTTTGGGGTGCATGTTTTTGAACTCTACAAAAATGGAATTCTATTGAATGCATTCTTTTTTGTCTTGCTTCAGTTGTTCACTTTTATGTTTACTATTCACCCAAGTTGTTGCATGTAGTCCTGGGATACCCATTTTAATTGTAGTATTCCATTTATTAATACTATACTTATTCACCCATTCAGTTGATACAAATATCCCCCTGATTTTGGAACATTATGAAATATGCAGCTATACCACTCACACAGATAACATTTCCTATAGGAAATATATCTAGGAGTAGACTTTCTGTGTTACTGGATAGGTAGAACTTTGCTAGCTCTACCTACCAAAGGTAGAGTGACTGAATTCTAAGTGATTTCAAAGTGACTGAGTTATTTATAGTATCATACTTTCTGGACTGTCCAATGTCTTTATTTCATATCCTTTCCACCCACTTGGTATTCTCAGACTCTCAGTGGATAACAATCTGAGTGATATAGAGAGGGATACATGTGGTTTTAACTTAATTTATTTTTTCCTTCAGTACAAATGAGATCGAAACATTTTCTGTACTTGTATTTACCATTTGTATTCCTGCAGCGCACTCTTTCCTCCATTGGATTCTCCTTTTCCCCACTTGTGATCTATGTGGGACAAAGCTTTCTACCCCTGTAAATGTTAGTCTCAGAAACTCACAGGGGAAGTTCTACCCTGTCCTATAAGGTCGCCATGAGTTGGTATCGACTCATGGCAGTGAGTTTTGGTTTTTGAAGAGCACACTGGAAAAAAGTCCTGATTTACTAAAAAAAAAAAAAAATCAACCATTGAAAACCCCATGAAACACAATTCTACTCTGACACACGAGTTTGCAAGGATTTAGAATTGACTTGATGGTAATTGTTTTGTTTTTCCCTTTTTCTTGCATGCATAGATCATCATCACTGTTCTCTTGGGGACACTTGGCTCTCGATTCAGGTAGAAGAGCACCAATGTGGAATTTAAGGAACCTTGGCGGCATGGCACTTAAAAACTGCTGCTGAACAAAAGATTACCCACTAGGAACTTTGCAGGAGAACAACGTATCAGCCTGCTGCTGCAAACATTACAGTCTGACAAACCCACGGGACAGTCTTACTCGGTCCTTCAGGGTAGTGGTCAGTTGGAATCAACTTGACAGCGTCTTCGTGAAATAAAACTAAAGAGTTCTTCTATAACGTGTCAAGTTGCTCTCATAAGTCCTTTAGTTCTTGGTGATAGATGCAAACCTTTTTAACAAGTCTTTAAAAGCTTGGACCACTTGTTTGTTCCGCAGAGTATAAATGAAAGGATTCATTACCGGGGCAACTGAGGTGGTAAGCACAGATACCACCTTATTAATAGCTACTCCTTCTTTGGCAGATGGTTTAACGTAGATGAATATGCAGCTTCCATAAGTGATAGAGACCACAATGATATGGGACGAGCAGGTAGAGAAAGCCTTCTTCCGTTGCTGGACGGAAGGGAATCGGAGAATAGTTTTGATGATGTATGTGTAGGACATAATCACACACACCAAGGTGAAAAGGAGGGTCAACACAGCCAGAATCAAGACAAACCGCTCTAAAAGCTCTGTGTCGGAGCAGGTGATCTTCAGAATGGGAGCAGCATCACAGCCAAAGTGGTCGATGACATTGGAGTTGCAGAACTCTAGATTGAAACCCATGCCAAACGGAGGGAGCACAATGATGAGGGAAATCAAGCAACAGCCAATCAGGAGCCTCAGGCAGACGCTGTGGTTCATGATGGTTGTGTAGTGCAGAGGCTTGCAGATGGCCACATAGCGGTCATAGGACATGGCAGTCAGGAGAAAAAACTCAGTTGTCCCCAGGATAACCACAAAAAACAATTGAGTGGCACACGCATTGTATGTAACAGTATTGTCCCCAGATGCCATCGTGTAGAGGAATCTGGGAATGCAGACAGTTGTAAAAGAGAATTCTAAGATTGAAAAATTCCGGAGGAAAAAATACATAGGTGTTTTAAGGTGGGAATCCACCAAGGTCAGCGTGATGATGGTCAGATTTCCCACAACACTCAATACGTAGGTTAGGAACAAAAAGATGAAAAGCAGAATCGTTAGAATTGGGTCATCTGTTAGTCCCACCAAGATGAATGTAGTTATTGCGGTATAATTTTTCATCACTGACTCCCGACAATGGTCTGGTCTGTGTGTAGAAATAAGAGAAATCAGATGTGAGAATGGGAAGACCAATAGGAGTTCCAAGAGTGGGGTGGAGTGAAAATGGTAACTAAGAATTTATTTTATGTTTTCATTTGGCACCTATCAATCCATTATGTTCCTGAAGTGGTGGATAACTGGTAGTTAATTGGCAATGCTATTTAACTACCACTGCCGAGCATTATACTGTAGATCATTCAGAAGGGTGATTAAATGTTTTTATTACAATATTGATGTAATATTAATTTACTGATAAGAGATTCTTAGCTTAACAATCCCATGAAAATCAAGTTACTTAGTACAATCATATCACCCGTGAACAAAGATGGTTTTATTTTTTCCATCTAAACCGGTTTACCTTTTTTTCTTTTTCTTATTTAACTGAATTAACTTTGATTAACATAGTTTTACATTAGCTGTGTTAATGGACTGAAAAACAGTGGGTAAAATATGTGCAAGATTTACAATGTAAACACAGCAGACTCTAGTTTAAGTTGTGAAGTTACATGATTCTGTTCGCAGCCTCTACTTCCTCCGATATTCTGGTTAGCAGACAAGCTTGTAACCATTCCTACCACCTAGGAGTTTGGCTAAGGCTAACTGACACCTGGCCATGAGTCTGCTCTGAATTTTTTGCTCCTATAAAAATGAGGCTTTTTGTTCCACTGGTGGCAAGACCGGGGGACAAGTTCGGCTGCTAACCGCAAGGCCAGCACTTTGAAAACACCAGATAGTCCTTGTGAAGAAGCTGAGGCTTTCTACTTCCATAAAGATTTACAGCCTCAGAAACCCACAGGGCCCTATATTGTCTGCATGCTGGTGGGGGTGAGGTATTTCCTGGCTTGTGAAATAAGAACAATAGTCATATATTCTTCATGTGTTCTTAGGAAGAATAAAAATCTATTTCCTTTCAAGCACTTAGGTTCATACCTGGCACTGCATAAATAAGAAAGGCATTTCATTTAATTATCCTATTTCTTCTTCCAGGGCCAGAGTTTGTTGCTGCCTCTCTGTGTGAATGGAGGCTTCATGGTCATTCTCTTCCCTTGACCCTAGAGTTGGGAATCCTGTATTACGGTCAACGTACATATTAAAAGGTTTCTACTGCCCTCAAAGTTAAATATAAAAGTAGAAAGTCCTTGTAAGTTCTAAAAATATAATGTTTTGTGGATGGATCTGCCTATCATTCATGTGCAGGCAGTCTCAGGTTTCAAAGAAGAGCCTTTCCTTATGGTGTCTTGAAGTCTTTATGTGGAATTTGTAGGTGAATTATAACAAGTGCATATGGTTCTTATTTAGCTTAATCAATGTAAAAAAATACTTAAAGTTTTTTGTAATGAGTTAAGGGCTGTATGCACATCCAGTAAAAGTGATTGCCATGAAGAATTTGTTATGAGCAAGGGTTTTTCATTTTTTTTAGTTCAAAGTGAAGACACTCTTGCATAATATTAAAGAACAGGTAGCAGTTGTACATAATCGAAGTTTGTCACCTGAACACTGTTATTCAAGTACATATCATAGCAGTGGCTTATGTTTTTTTCAGAATATCTTTTATATTTAAAATCTATATCTTTTGTAGCTTATTATGTGGTTACCTGACCAAATCTCTTAATTCAAACATGGCTCTTTGGGACAATCCATTCCCATTTACACAGTAACTGTCTCCTTCATATTCTTTCTGAGCTTACCGCTGGGCTCTCTTCATCCATTGACTTGTTCTCCGTAGGACTACTTCCCTTCACGTCTCTGCACTGACTTACCAGCAGTGTCCTTCATGCCCTGTTCTTGTTTCTCAGGATTTTTCTCTTTGAACGATTATAAAGGAACTAGAAAAACAATGTAATCAACTCTCTATGAATAAAATTACCAAGGACTGAAGAGAATAATATATGCTGACAGATTTAAAGGACTGTAAAGATTATTGTAGACGATACCATTAATTTGAAGATAAAGCCAGAGAGCCAGCAGTTACTAGTCTCCTTAGGGACAAAATCAAAGGAGGAATTCCAGTAACTGTAATATTACATGAATCAGTGCCCAAAGCTTTTGGGTTTCTGAGTGAGGGGCTATTATCGACCAACAGTTATCATTTTAGAACAATAATTAATTGCTTTTTTAGTGACTGAACTGTTTCCCATTTTCAGCCACTGTCTCTATAGCTCCCAATTTTTCTTTTTATTGGGATGGAACAAGATCTTCCCAGGAGACTTCAATTAGTTCGGAACATGAATGGTTTCCTCTTGTTTGTTTCAGCATGTTTCCCACAATAATCTTGAGATCTATTTCCCTTGAGCTTAGAGAAATATAGCTCTTTCCTTACTACTGAGGATGCAGTGTCCATTTCTAGCATGTGTAAGATCACAAATCAGAACCCTTTGATTCTGGATTTATGGACAAGGCTACAACTTGGGTACACAATAAATGGCTAATATATTAGCTGCTTCCATTGCAGGGACAGAAAAACCAGTCAGAATGTTCATACCAGGCCAGATGTTGAAGTTGAGAAGGCTTTCACCTTTTCTTGCTTCTGACACAGGTTCAAAATGCCTTCATATGGAACTGACCAAACTCTCCTCAAACTGGCCTAGTGGATCAATAATATTCTAGCTTCTGTCTTTACAAAAATTAAGAATCTGTTAGTGTCCTAGTCTCCTCAGGAACATAATGGGTAAACACAAATAGATTAGTAAATAGAAGTTCATTGATCTATTGCTGTGTTCCTGAGAACAAAATATTTTATTCCTTTCTGAATAATTTATGCTATTTCTCATTTTACAGAAGTTTATCTCTAATAGTGGCTATTGAAGTAACATAGCAAACAACAGATATTTAGGAGATTTTTTTGCTGGATATTGGGGGGATAAAAACACTTTTACAGGGTCTCATATCTAGTAGACTCCTTTATTTCTCAAAAAATTGTACTGTCCTCTCTTTAGAGCTTCCAAGGGCAGCTTTCTGAAGTCTGATTAAAATTCAAGTGTCACATGTTAGAGAAGAATTTGAAAAATAACCATTGAGTCTTATTGTGAAATATTATTCTTCATTATTTAGGACCTTGGCTTTGAAACATATAATGTAACTTTGAACTAGTTGGGTTTTGGATGGTGAACAACTGACGTGACTAAGCAAATCCTACTCACCTTTCTGATTGCTGTTCATGGCTTCTGTGGGTATCTTAGCCACAAATATCCTCAGGATCACGCAAAGCCGAGCAGGGGTTTGCTAATGCAGATGTGTACTATAATTATGTGCATTCCCACGCACTTTCATATTTCCTGGCAAGTCTGTGAGTGGGCAGAGGCCTCTTAGATTCTCATTGCTCACAGCTTCCCAGAAAAATTTCCCAAGTTTCTCAACAAATCAATAAAGCTCCCAAGTAAAGGGTCTCTTCTGACTTTAATTCTAGGGGAAATTCTCAGCTATTTTGTTTTACTGTTGTGATAGTTAAGGACTCTCTTTGGTTTTAGGAGAGCCAATTTCCTGACCTCCGTGTAGGAAGCCAGGTTGCCCTGCAAATTCTATATTAACAAGAATGGTATAAATTATATCTGTTTGGTCCTTACCAGGTATGTAGATGTCATCTGTTTAAATATAAATAGACCTCTTGGGATCATAGGTTCACAAGTTACTAATTAGTCTATAGTGTAATGAACTTTATGAGAACAACAACAACAAAACAATCCATCATTTGGGACTGGCTTTGGAGACAAGAAGAGGCAACAATAGAATCAGAAGCAGGTCAGGTGTGCAATGAGTGCCAGGTGACCAATCACAAGAGTGGTCTCTCTTCACTCTCATTACTTGAGGGGTTCTTTGTGGGGTCCAGGGAATAACTTGTCCATGGTTCCCCGAGGGATGGTGAATTTAGGTGAAATCATACCATCTCCCAAGTTCCTGTGTGGCACAACAGGTTAACAGGTGAAGACAAAGTGAGAGTTGAATGTTTGAACACAGCCTGGTACACATGTAAGTCCCAAAGGATTGCACCTCACTGACTGTCTTGTGATATGACATTTCCCAAAAAACCAAACTCCCTGCTATCAAGTCAATATCAGCTTACCGTGACCCTATAGGACAAGGTATACGTGCCCCTGTATGTTTCCAAGGCTGTATCTGTTTATGGGAGTAGAAAGGCCCTGTCTTTCTCCTGTGGAGAGGTTTGTGATTTTGAACTGCTGAGCTTGCTATTAGCAGCCCAATGTGTAACCACTATGCCACCAAGGCTCATATCATTTGTAACAATCTTAAAAGTCTCCTATGATTATTTTGCCCACTAATGAGGTACTTCTAGTAGCAATGAATGCTGACATGTTAGGCTATGATGATTCAGGATATGTGCCAACTTGCCCGGCCCAATGCTCGGTGTACTGTGTGGATGGTATGTAATGATGTAATTTGACAGCTATGTGAAGTTATAATTTGTCAGCTATGTCGTGATGTACTGTTGGCTCTGACCCATAGCAACCGTACACTCTGCACAAAAGAATGGACCAGTGCTGTGGTCCTGCATTGTCCTCACGATTGTCCCCTTGCTTGAGCCCACGGTTGCAGTGCAGAGTCAATCCAGCTCCTTGAGGACGTCCCCCTACTCCACCACGCATGATGTGTTTCTCCAGAGACTGGTCTGTCCAGCAACACGGCCAAAGTATGGAAGACAAAGTCTTGCCATCCTTGCCTCCAAGGAGCACCCTGTCCAACCTCCAAGACAGATTGTTTTGCCCTTTTAGCAGTCCATGGTACTTTCAAAATAAAGGATGTAGTTATCCTTTATCCTGTGATCTGATGTGGTCACCTATATTTTTATAGAGCACCAATATCCATTTAACACCTGTTCTTCGGAACCTGACCATTTGGATTAGTGAGGGGTGGTAGTATAGCTAAGAAAGCCCTATGGAGTTCAGTTTTACTCTGTAACACATGAAGTTGCCATAAGTTGCAATCAACTCTATGGCAAAAGGTTTGGGTTATACCACTTCCTGTGACAGGTAATAGCTTCTCCTCTGGGTTCCAGGTACTTCTTGGCTTCCTGTTTGTTTTGCTCATTCATATGATTCATTTTATGTTACACTCAGAATTAACTTTACCGTTAGACTGCTTTATTTCTAAACTTGTTTACATACTGTGTAGCAAAGAGCCTAAGTTCATTATGTTGGGCCCACTTGGACACTCTAGGATACACTTTTTCATAACTAGCTAA